ACCTGTATAGTATTGTATAGTATCCCGCACTTTTGTTGGAGCCCATGAATACGCATGGCTACGCAGCGCCTTTTGTTGCTCAAGAGAGAAAAAGCGTGACCGCTTAGAGTCTCACTGTTTAACTGTTTTCCCTTAAGTAACCTTCCGGCTCAAAACTTTTGGAGGACAAGTTGTGTTTTGCAATCGTTTTTTCGTCAATTCACGAGGCCAGACATCCTTGACACGTGAGCCTTTGAACGCTCGACCTGCATCCAAGGAAATTGGAGCTCTTGAGTAGGCACAATTGCAGCATGGATCTTGCCGACTTTTGGTTTCTTGGGCACAGCTCACGGTTGCAGAGCTACAGTCGAATCTGGTTGTGGATACCAATGGTGGACACCAAGTCTTGCAGTTTAAAGCACCACAAGCCAAAGATGGAGGGGAAGCGCCAATGTCTAACGGTTGCTCGCTGCTGATGCAAGGGGCTTTTCAGGATTCCTGCGCAAACGCCGTTCCCCCAGTTGCAGGGTTTGACGTCGGCTTTGCTGGGTGCAGCATCGCCTGGTACTCGTAGCCGCAGAAGCAGCAGCAGCCGCAGCAGCACCCTGCAGCACCTTGAGCCGCCAGATCGTGGTCTTCGAAATTGTATTTTGCAGCATTGGTGCAACTACTGCACGATTTCCTCTTCAAGAGGCAGCTGCGCAAATTCGCATCGGCTGAAATTTCAGTGAGCTTGAACATGCCTTCGACTGCTTACAATAACTTGCCTTGGCGAGCATCATCGCTGCAGAAAGTCCTGAAGGATGGTACGATAGTTCGCCCAAGTAGACGGCTACCAGGAACACGAACAAAGGCTGACATGGTATTGCTGGCGAAGGAACTTCCCTCATTTAACACGAACCTCACCACGTTCTAGCCGCTCCCTTTCTGGATGTCCAGTGCGGTGGCGTGTCATGGCAACGTCGCATACTGGCAAGCAAAAGATCGGGCTGTGCAGCATGGCGTTGGGCATGGTTCAGTAGTCGCCCAATATACGGACTTAAGGAACAGTTTTGATTTCAGTTTGTGATATCGCCTCTTTCTAGCTGCCCCTGACCAGGCCCTGCACCCCGGTGCCAGTAAATGGGCTTTCGCGATCTCGATAAGGCGGAACACTTCGTACTACGTCCATAGCTGGCCTCTCGTACAGTATTTTTTTTGAGCAGATGTGGAAAGGTTGAGCTTTGCAGAACGGCACGGTCTCGGGGCAAGAGCCTTCGAGTCGCATCCTTTGCTGTGCATCGCAAGAGTTGCAGCATGTCATCATTCCTTCCGTCTTTCTTGGTGGTCAAGCTCGAGCCGGAATGGGGCATTTTGTCACGGCCTTCTTCATCGAAGTGTTTGTGTGATGATGTTCCGCCACGCGAATCCTGCCTCGGGTCTCGTGGCCGTAGCCGGCCTTCCCCAAATCCTAGGGTCAGGGATATATTGAAATCGTAAACGCTATGGGGCTAGGGCAATTTAGGGTTAGGGATTTCTGAGAAACAAGGAATCACCCAGGCGCTTTCCCAACTCTTGCACCCACAGCCCCCAAGCACCTTGAGAGTTGTGGGGTTTTATGTCTGAGAGATTGTGGTATGGTCCATCTGTTTTGGTTTGGAAATTATTTTGAGGATTCCTATACGCCCTGCAGACCCTAAGCGCTGAGCCGTGCTTTATGATGGGTGTAGAACTTAGTCTTTTGCTTGCGTGCCTTTCTGTTTCCACAGAAAAGGGTCAGGGTTTCGCATTTCGGAAGGTTTCAAACTAGGATTTATGGCTGGAGGGCTGGATTCTAGACTGCTTTGAATTTTCATAATTTTTTCGATAATTTAGCATCAAGATTTCGAATTAAACTAAGAGATCTCCCTCTGTAAATTACATTTTGAAAGTCGATCTTTTATTTACGAAGCCCACAAAATGGGGCCCCGAGGGCAACGCTTTCTGTAGGTTTATGCTGTCTGGTCGCACGGACATATCGTTGACAGCATCGAGCTTGCATGAAAGCTTCTGCGGCTCACAGTCGTTGCATTGGTATGGGAGTTAGCAGTCTATCCTACCGCTATGACAACGCTCGATACAGCACCTTCCACGTGAGGATGTCTTCATCAACACGACGGTTTGAAGTTCAGCATATTTGCAATCAAGTCGTGTTGGTGTTGGTTCTTCGATTGCTGAAGTATGGCAACCAGCCCCGTGTTTCCGACAGGCACGGGCCGCTTGTGAAATCTTGTGCAGATCGCGTGTCCAGTGCTGTGTCCTGAACTGCTGAACTCTTGTGGCACTTCGTGGGTGGGGCAGGCCTCGAGCTCAAAGCAGCCGCCAGAAGTTGCTCATGGCCCTCGCACATTGGTTCGGGAGGGCGCTCTTCCCAACAGCACGAGCAAACGCAGGTCTCAGCTCAGGTAAAAACGTGTAAGGCGCCGAGTTCGATCTTGTCAGGGATTGG